CTCCTACGTTTTCAAAACCCATAAATTGGGAATGGATTGGACATACCATGAGAAGGGAAGAAGATAGTTTTGCAGAGAAAGCTATAGATTAGAATCACCTGGGAGATGATCACAAGGAAGAACGGGAGAGGAAGAGGCAAAGGCCGCTGGGTGCAGATAATGGGAGCAGCTTAAAACCGAGTCCGATGGAGAAATGTGATTACAGCCCCTTGCTCCACAGGGACCATAAAGGATTAAATAAAGAAGCCTGCAATTTCAAACATAGACTGTCCAGTTTTTAACTATACAAATGGTACTGTGTGATCAGCTGGTAGAGTGCAGGGTAGTTTAATTAAATATTTTATATTCATTTCCCGAACTCCGATGACGTATCTCAGTGAAAAGGTACTTTAAAATAAATTGCATATGCTATCAAAAGGGTTATTAATAAATTATGCTTAAAGAGAGTGTCCATAACACTAGATCAGGGGTCGGAAACCTGCGGCTCGCGAGCCCCATGCGGCTCTTTTGATGTCAAGATGCGGCTCTTCAGCTCCATGCACAAATATTCATAAATATTATGTTTTAATTTTTTAAACTTATAAAAATATTAGTCTGCAACACTCGGTAATGAACGATATAATAATAAATATAACCAATAAACACTCGCTATTATATTAAAATATTTAGTTACTCACTATTTCAATATACTTCCTTGTTTTCTAAAATTGAGTTACTTAAATGTAAACAATGCATGTGCTTGGATCATATTTATCGGTTTAACTACACTATATAAAAGTCTTGAGTGTCGGGTACGGAAAGTGGCACTCTCGTGAACCCGATTACACTACAACAGGGGCGCCACGTACGGCACCTAGCTTATTTTAATCGTCGAATTTCGTGTGCCGCATTATCAATATTGTAGGGTGCTCCTTAAAACTAACGTAGGCGTGTAGTGATCGCTGGATAGCACTGGGTGCCGACTTCCGAATCGCACCCTGCAGAGACGCCGGAGGACGCACCTGATTCGATTAAATGAGCGACTATAGCAACCCATTGTATCCATAGCCTATCGCGCTGTTTTAAAATTAAGGTAGGCGCCATGGTGCTCACGGGTACGCCCGGTGTCAATCCGCAATCGACTTTTATTTTTATATAACGTATATAGAGAAGAATCGAATCGCGCCCTTACGGGGAGTCACCCCTGAGAATTTGCCTTTTTTTCGATTATATCTCTCAACAACTTCCTAAAGTGTCATGTTGATCGGATGAAAGGTGTAGTAATGAATATAAGACGAACAGACACACACAAATACATATATATATACATATATATATATATAAGACTAAGTGTACATCTGGATACACGAAAAAAAAACTTTAAAAATGCCACACCCCAACTCACCCCAAAAAGAGACAAAAATAACAACGTATTTGAAAAAAAAATTAAGGGTTAATTAAGAATATACAATTGAAAATAAATAGAGTAAGATTCCACGTACCATCTGGTGAAAACATTGAAATATTAGTACCAGAATAAAGACCATCTATCTTCAACTACCCTAGGGACAGTCAGGTTCAAACTTAAGTACAAGGTAAAATATATAGGCAAAGAGTAGAATTTAACTGTTTCTGAAAATGGACTTTCGGCATAGCAATGGCACAAAAAAGATAATCAGATAACATAGGACAATAAAAAGATTGAAAATTCAACAAAAACTAGTTGTTTTTTTAAAGGATGATGTGTTTTACCATAATTAATGTGAAGCGACGGTGACTAGCAGTCAAGTTTCCCCCCCCCCCCCCCCACCACCTAGGATCAATTTCTGCGCAAAAAAGTTTAATTCGCAGGAGCGGCTCACCTGCAGTATACAATTTAAACAGTCCGATAGATTTTGGAGAAAAGATGATACATTATTGTCGTTCTCTAAATTGAAGTAGGCGCGTCCGCCGGCGCCTTGGCAGGGTGCGATTTAGTACCGCGTGCTATCCTATAAGCACTATGGCGCCTACGTCAGTTTTAAAGAGCACCTTACAATATTGATACGGTGGCACACGACATTCGGTGATTAAATCGAGCTATGGGCCCTACGCCCTGGGATGTGCTTGGCGATAGTGTAAGTAACCCGTGCCAGATAAATATGATCCAAGAAGTAAAGCGCAGACATTGTTTACATTTAAATAACTCGCAAGTATATATATATATATATATATATATGTATATATATATATATATATATATATATATATATATATATATATATATATATATATATATATAGTAAGAACATATACACCTAGCAATAGAGCTCATCATTCAACCCCAGGCCTATATTTTTCTTAACTCACCTTAAAGAACGTCACTGTGTTCACTCTGAGATCTGTCAAATAGCCGTTAATGTTGCGACACACCTCGTGTGCTTTTTTAAATTTCTCACGATCGCGTGAAAACAAATAGTACAATCCATCATGCGTTTGTACTTGAAACTTTTTGTTCACTTTTGAAATATAACAGTCCTCTGACTGAATGAAGCCAATTAAGCAAACTAATGCGATGAATGAATATAAAGACATTTTTATCACTCGTTGTTATTAAATTTCAAAATAATCCGTTTTCCTTTTTTTTTTTAAATGCTTGAACCCTTACGTTAAAAAATTTGCAATATTCTGCTATTGAACCAGATTCATATTTAACACAAAAAATACTATAAAACCAGGATATAAATACATGCAAGAGAAAACGGATGTGTGTGCTATCATAGCTGAACTATCACACTTTTATCATACGAAAACAGTGCACGGGACGATGTTATGAATTAAGTGGACCGAAGTAGAATTCAGGGCCTCGTCATTCTCGAGTAAGGCATTCCAAAAATTGAAGCAGCTGCAGAACTTTAGGCCATTGAAGCACTGATGAATCTGAGATGATAAGTTAGACAATGCGTTTATTTTTGAGAGATTCAAGGTTAAATGCGTACGTAAAACACAATTTCAGATTATATACAGAGTATAGTGATAGTAATTGTAATTGTACACATAAATTTAATGAGCTTTTGACACTCTTTGCAGTCTTACACCTTCCTACTTTATCCTATACGAAATAAAAGGAAGCAATGAAATCGCGAAGACAATCAATATCGAGATTTAAAATAAAAAGTTTGACGTTTTACAACATTGTATTTCCCGGTAAAAAAAACAAAAAAAAAACCGTAGTATTGTGATCCTGTCCGCGTTTATGTAACTTGTGTACCGTTACAGTTATGTTGGCCGAATTTCATATATAAGTATTGTATCACATTGAGAGTTTTCTTTCAACTTTTGAGCAATGTCCGGTAACCGGAAGTGATAGTTCTCTACTTCCGGTCTGTCAAAAGCTGACAACTAGAATCCATTAACTTTAGATAGACAAAATTTCAATTTCATATACAAGTAATACATTGTATGCGCAGGTTTGCAATACGTTTTGACCGATTTAAGGTAACCAGAATTGGTACCAATGTGTTTGTAGGAACAAGATAACTTTAGTACTGTTTCAGTTAGATAGACGGAATTTCATACTTAAGTAAAAGATCTGTACATGGATAGTTCTTGTATTTTGAATCTTCTTCTTATTCGTTCTTAATTTTAATGTTGGAAGGGATTCCCTCCAACACAATTAAGTATACGTGTCATCTGGTTATGCGCCAATTAAGACTTATCGGTTTAGCAGCTATGAGCTTTACCGACTCGACCATACCGACTCCAGTATTTTGAATTATTTCCGATATCCGGAAGTAGTACTTTATTCTATTTCTTGTTTATCAAAATACCGATAACCTGTGTACCATTTTAGATAAGTGAATGAAAAAATATACTAAGATTTAATATATTATGCAATGCTTTCGGTCAAACTTGAGTGCTTTTCTGTGAACAAAAGTAGTACTTTATAATATTTCCAATTTCTCAAAAAAAAAACGTCTACCCAACCGATGTTTATCGATCTTTCACATATATATGTAAATACTCGATGACGGACCATGATAAATTGAGAACGTCTTTTGCTTTGCTGTTTAAGTGTAAGTAAACGTGATATGGATGACAACCACTTATAACGTTAAAGTATACATCACAACGCACACGTTGACTGACATTATGCTATTCTACTTCCTTGATGGAGATCTAATACAAGACTCGGCGACAAAAACAAAGACAGCTTGCGATAAGTTTTCGAAAATTTTAAATGAAGTTTAAGATGGGTATCAGCAGTGGCGGAACTAGAAAAAAAGGGCCACCCCGCAAGAAAAAAATTCTGCCCCCCCCCCCCATCTATATATATACAATCTTTGGATACTCATTTCTGGCCTGATCGGGTTTTGAAAAATAAGCGTCTTATTATTTGTAGAATACAGGATAGTACAGAATAGTAGTTCTACCAATACAAAAAAAATTACATTTTACATTGGAAAATCATAATGGGTTATAGTCCCCTAACAAACGCTATAAAGATTCAATAAAGAAACAAAAGTCGTCTTAATATCTAGCGGCCTCTTTTCAAAAGAATTTTGACGACAACAGCGTGTGTTTGATTGTAGAAGAAAGAGGACTCGGCTTTCACAATAGTTTAAAAACAAAGGGAAAAAGAATATACTAGAGCGTGTGATGGTGCTATAGAATAAAGATAATCCAACCGCAGCTACAACATTCTTTTTATACAACAACCGTGTATCAGTAAATCCTGATAAGCAAGAATTTCATTTCTTACTGGCAAATGAAATTTTCTTCTTACAAAACTTAATGTCTAAGAAATACATTCACCGCTCTACCCTCCCTAACTACATACCTAAAGAGAGCACACTCACATGCACAGACTCCGACATAATTATATATATATATATATATATATATATATATATATATATATATATATATATATATATATATATATATATATAATGTATATGTATCTGTTTTTAGATTAGATACATCGATGAAACAGAGAAAACATATTTGAAAGGTTAGTTTATTTTTGCTTATAAAACTCAGGCTTAAAAAGATAAATTTCACACAGGGGAATCCCCTTCACTGTCTACACTACAGGTGCTACTGTCACCGTAGACAGTGTCCACCATATTTAATTGTCCATTCTGCGCCCACAGGTGGTGATACGTGGAGTGTGGGTCTGAACAGTCCTGGGAGGGTGGGGCTGATTTCACAGGGTCATCTGATTTGACCTTGACCTGACCTCCGGGCAATGCGCTGACATCAACATCATCGTAGTCTGAAGATTCCATCATCTGGGTTTGAACCTGGTCAATGTAAGAGTAGGTCAGTTCTGTTGTACCATTGTACGCGATTGTGTCTTGTTGACCTCTAAGGGGTACTTGTCCTGCTGTGTCTTCATTAGCCCTGGTGTTTGGCTGACAGGGGTCGGGCGTGTGGTTCAGGTCGAAGATGAAGCTGTCTACAAATGACACGGGTTTCATCTTCTCTCTGTTGAGACGCTTGTACCTAGCCACGACCCAACAGCTGAAACGTTAATGCCAATAACAATCATTATTTTTGTTTTTAAACAAAGAGAAAATGTATTGGATTTTATCTCGGAGAGAGCAAAATTTTGCAGTTCTTGCTGATTATGAACATGTAATGTGTACTCATAAATTTTTTTACTATACTAAATTGTAGACCTCAAGTTGGATAAAGTAATTCAAACGTTAAAATGGCCCTGTCACAAATAAAGAATTCCATTTATTAAATAACATAACAAGTTGCTCATTATAATTTTTTTAAAAATATACACACATTACTTAAGGTGGAAATAAAATACAAGTTCCTATTGATATTGTGATATAATTCGTGTTTTTAATCTTAAAAGAGCACGCATTTTTAAAAATGAATATATTTTTTACAAAACTTACACAACGATCCCCATTACGATGTTGATGACTATGGAAGTTGCCAAGATTAAGCCCAAAACAAACGGCAAAGTTACATCAGCTAGAAAAAAGGAAGCACGAATTTTATACTCAATTGATTTGCCTGCATATGTCGTAAGTTGTTATTACAGACACGCAATAAGGCTTAATTCCAGTTCATTCAAATTAAATGATTCTTATGCTTAGGGTGAAAGTATTTTTAAAAAGCGGTAGGCCTACATATTTTTATGATTTCATTAAAAAAATAATAAAAAAACGCCTTATAACAAAAATTGTGTTGAATTACCAATTTTATTTTTTTCTTAGCTTATAAAAATAAAGTGTGAAGTGATAATTTTGAGCTAATATTTAATCAATTTTAATATCAACATTCTTTTATATAAATATTAATGATTTACCTTCATTAGTATTGCCAGTTAAAGTGTTGGCAGAAAAATTGAGATTCTGATTCTCAATACAAACACAACTGTTGCTGGAGTTAATGCATTCGACACGTTTGGTTGGTTTATTTGTTGTTGACATGCTTGACGGCAAGGTGTAGTTGAGGGTGATGATGCCATCAGGAAATGTCTCTCTAGCCAATGTTGTTGTTTGTTGAAGGCGCTGTGATTGTATATCTGAGCACACTTGATCACACGGGTTTGGGTTTGGAGAGTCTGAGATACATGGACGAAAATGTAATACGATTTATTTACAATTAATCAACACTTATTAGCGGTTCATTTATCGCAGCCTCATACATCGGTGATGTTTTTACACTCACTCACACACACACACACACACTACAACCGCAATAACTGAGGGATGACACACACACACACACAAACACACACAAACACGCACACAAACACACACACACAGATAAATTTAGAATTAAACACTACAACCGCAATAACTGAGGGATGACTGCATATCAGTTTTGACAATCTATTTGAAGATTATTAGAAGCTATTACTAAGAATTACTATAAGAATATGTAAAAAGAAATATGTAAAAGCAGCCCTTTACATAGTGTAAGATAAAAAAATATGTCGTTTGATTTGCTTAAAATAGATTGATTCAATTGTATTTAAAGATTTTTTTAGTAAAAATGTTTACAGAATAGTTTTCTAAAACTGACGTGTTGAGAAACTGAACCCTAACTTTGTCATGGAATAAAACATGTAAAAAAGAGTAAAATCGTTATTATACACTGAAAATATAGTATATTCGTAGAAATTCGTAAAAAAAACAAACAGCCCCTAACAAGTTTTAATAACAACAATATATATATATATATATATATATATATATATATATATATATATATATATATATATATATCTTGCTCGGCTTAAAATAGATTAATACATGTAAATTAAAACCATAATGTTTGAACATAAAAAAGTTTTCTGAAATTTTTGAAGAACATGTTCTAATTTTGACGTAAGCGTTAAAACTCTTGAATTAATAGCAATTGTAAAATAAAGGGGCCATGGTGTACAAGGAAGAAAATGTTAATTGCTATAACTGAAATATTATATATTTAAAAAACATTAACAATGTTAACTATTTAATAATATGTGTACTCTCTTTCATAAATATGTTCATTTCCTCTGGGTTTTTTTTTTCATCTCTCGTTAGAAAATCTAACAATTACGATTATGCTTTTTAGCACACTCAAACAGTCACTACTTCTGATTTATTTTCTCAAGTCATTGCTATTGCTCTTGCAGCAATACTCTATTCATTGTCTATCATTAATGTAATCAGAATAGTTAATATTTACAGGCAAACAACGCTGTTTGTTTGTTAAAATAATTTAATACTAACCCAAGAGACAAATGAAGTTATTAGTATTTGAGCAGCCAGTCCATTCACATTGTTTATTTCTAAGGTCGTATTGTGCACAGTCTCCGTTCGAAAAATAAGAACCACTCTGGCATTCGAATGAAAATCTTCGACCTGTAATAAACACATTCTCAAACAGTGTACAAAACATAACTTTGTGTGTGTTTGTAATTAGCAATTAGAAAGTATCAAATAGTATAGTTTAGAACATATTTTCTAATTTCATTTTACTCCCATTTATATAATATCCTTCTCTCTTTTAATAGGTGCCTAAACAATGCCTTTACTTGTTTTTGTTTAAAAAGTGTAAACTCTTTTATTTTGCTATTTTTTGTCCAAGATCCTTTCATATTGTAGACCATAAATATTTAATATTGGTTTGATGCTATGATTATGCAAGTATTTTTTAAAACAAAATCTGTGTCTTTAAATAAATTTATCTCACCCGAGTCCCAGACTGTAGCCCCCAATGATGACGTCCACAACAAACCAATCCAGAAGTTTTCGGCATAGATTGTGTTGTTTTTAGCCAGACTCTGTTGACAAGACATCATGAATGATTGTAATTTATTGTTGTAAAATACACCACAATCAATTCTCAAGCCTCGAATTGTGTGAGTAAATATGACTAGATGAGTTCAAAATACTTAAATGTGTAGAGTACGGATAATTACATAGGCTACATTTTACGTATAGTTTTTAATAATAAAATATTTAATTTAATATTTTAACATAATTGATTGTACGGTGATCAAGGCAAAAGATATATGCATTTATGGGTGTGTTTAATGTAACAACAAATACAATTTTCAGCATTATTTGAAAGCGGTTAGTTGAAAACAGTTTTTTTCTATGTATCTTTTAGGGGAGTGATTAAAATAAAATAGATATTGAAAACATACCTTTACCAGTGTCCTCCCCCCTTCCCCCGGAGGACTTTAGCCCCCCCCCCCCCCACACACACACAAGGAGTAAAAAGTCTAAACCATTGATAACAGACAGTAACAAAAATGTTTACCTTAAGAAAATTAGACTTGCTGTCATTGAGGTCTGTGAGATATCCTCCAATATCTCGACAGAAACCATACGCGTCAGGAAATTTCTTTTCCTCAAAGCTGAATACGAAGCAGCCGTTGTCAAAGGCTTCTGTGTTAATCTTATCCCCGGTACACGCCACACTCAGCGCACCCTCCATTAGTGCAGTAAATACCAGAAGCACACAAAGCATCGTTTCCAGCCCGAGTCTTGATTAGTTATCGCTGATTAGACGTTTCATTAACCGTTTATCTGTATTTTGGTAACTGATTCCGATAAAAAATAACATATAAAGTATAATATATATATATATATATATATATATATATATATATATATATATATATATAGGCCTATATATATAAATATATATATATATATATATATATATATATATATATATATATATAGGCCTATATATATAAATATATATATTTTATATATATATATATATATATATATATATATATATATATATATATATATATATATATATATATATTTATATATATAGGCCTATATATATATATATATATATATATTTATATATATAGGCATATATATATATATATATATATATATATATATATATATATATATATATATATATATAGTGACGTAGATGTCTATACGAAAGTGTGTAGGCACGGATAGAGTGTGTGTGAGAATGGCCTCCCATTGCAAGTGGTGTGCGAGCGTGAAAACAAGTGTGTGAACGAGGGGGTGTGTAAGCGCTGTGGGCAGCGTCAACACGGTGTACCTAGTCGTTAGTTTTTTCTTAAAGTCAATGTTTCTCTTGTAGTTGGTGAAAATTATACTTCAATGTTCAAATTCACTTCGTGGTTTGTGTTCTTTATTGGTGTTACACCTGGCCCTAAACGAGCCAAAAATAATTAGAAAGCCGAGTGTAACAATATATATATATATATATATATATATATATATATATATATATATATATATATATATATATATATATATGGTGACAGGACAAATGATCTCAGGACAAATGATCTCAGACAAAATATCTCAGACAAAATATCTCAGACAAAATATCTCACGGACAAATGATCTCAAGACAAATGATCTCAGGACAAATGATCTCAAGGACAAATGATCTCACGGACAAAAGATATATATATATATATATATATATATATATATATATATATATATATATATATATATATATATATATATATATATATAGCCATTACACATTTATGTATATAAAATGACTTTATTTGTTTCATACACACCTGTTTTCCAGATCTAACAATACATACTATAACGTAAAGAGAACAACTCACCCTTCCAGTACAGTGTACACCTACTCTCTGACTACAACCCGGAAGTGTAAAACAGTACTCAACTCTGACTTAGATGATGACCTCTTCTTATCTGATCCGGTTTCAGCGTTATCTTTTCACAAGCACGTATACAAAAAACATATGGCTTTATTTATGCAAAACTTATCCAATTTATCTGTTATATGTTTGTTGATTTGTTTCGTGTAGAAGTTTCAAAGATTTATTGTAAGTATTGTATACACCTTCACAATCAAGGTATTATTTGTCCTGTTGTATTCTCATACTTATTAGACGATATAACAAAATGAGCTCATTTACGGCTTAATTGAGTATATCAAGCATTAAAATAAAAATATATTACCCGTTCCGGCAAGGTTTTGCGCTAGCTTGAAATATCACAAATTTTTGCGCCACGTTTGACCACTCCGTATTGCATTAGCAATTTTACCTTGGTAATTACCTAGCTATTAGACTAACTTTTCTATATTTGCAACACAAGATCTAAATCATATACTCCAAACCAAACAGAACCACTAGTTTTACGCAATACTAGCAAAACATTATATTAATGTAAATACAAATGGTGTCTATTTGGGCGGCATGGCCAGAAATAGAGCGCCAGACTCCTAAAACGAGAGTCTTGATTTTGAATCCGGGTTCGTCCACGGAACGTCCACGTCCCTTTGTCCATCCATCCTTGATGGGCATTTAACTCACGTTAGGGAAGTAAAGGCCGCACATTATCCCTTCATTAGCCGAAAGAAATATGTAAACTCAATGAATTGCTTGGTCTAAAGAGGAATCTCTACTTCAAGTGTGATCTATTGCATGAAATAATTTTATCCATAATGTACTACTGACAGATCATAATTCATAAAATAAATTGAACTTTTAAATAAACGTTTATATTTTACAGATATGAATTGGTTCGCTTGTTTGTAATATGCTATTTTAGAGTAATAATAATGTGCCAACCAAATTGTGTACGTAACATCATGGAAAAGGAACAAGTTTTGTGAAGCAAAAAATAATTACATTTTTATGTTAATTGTTCTTCTCTTATGAGGTGAAAATTGTGTTATAGTCCATTTTATCTTTTTGTTTTTTGTCATTGTAATTTATTTTTACCCAAACTTTTGAGAATACAAATTTCAGTTTTGTTTATTTTCTGAAATTTGCTTGCACATTCTTTTGCAATGATTTATTATAATATGCACACAGATTCTACACATTACAATAATTAGCAGACAGTACATATTTAAGTAACACTATGTTATACTAATAATAAATTTACGTTTATTAAAAACAATAGTTATGATTTTAAAACTTTATATTCTTCACAGTAAAAGC